CACAGCTGGTCTGTCAGAGGTCACATAATTTGGCAGCCGTCCCAGCGCTTAAAAATTAATTTTTCCTTATTAATACAACTGGGGGTCCCACAGGATAGGATCCCAGCCTTATCTGAACCTGACAGCTTCCTAAACCCTGTGAAGGATGCTTTCTCCTCTAAGGCTATCCGTGATACAAGGCCACTGTGTCCGGGAACCCAACTGCACTAGATCCGGTTAGGAAGCCAATCCAATGGCCTGTGCAAAGTGACATACTGTTGAAGTGGGGGAGAGCTTCTTCTCCAGCACAGCTTCCCAGAACGGAACTAGTTTGCTTTCTGATCTCAGCCCCCTTAGCCTGGCACAATGTACCTAAAGCAAAGAGTAAATAATGGGAGGAGGGAAAGCCGGGAGATGGAGATGGAAAGTGTCTCCTCGAGCCCTCTGGGGAAAAGCATGTCTGCCTGCTACAGCAGACGCCACAAACAATGATAATTCTGTGCCAGAAAAAAGTTAGAAAAACAAATACCCCCTTGACATGGGTTATAGTCCCTCACTGAGCACATACTCGTATGTTTTAATGAAGCTCTTGGCAACTGCCAGATTCCTAGTCTAAAAATCCTCTCTCTCCCAGTAAGTTTTCAGTTAACAGCATAACAGGATTTAAAAGGCAAAGCAATGAGAGTTTGTGTGCCGCCCACGCGTGTGTGCATGCAAGTGGGTTGTTGGTTCTGCTAGATTATAGAAGTCATTTCTAAAAATACCAGCTTTTAGGAAAATATTTGAAAGTCTTTACAAGTGAGCATTGCTCAGAGTTGCATAAACATCATCTGAATCACTCTGTACTTGGGTCACTCAAAACCTTTACTTTCTTATATGATTGGTTTTGCAACTAGCTGAGGGAAGATGAAAAACACACAGACGTCCAACCATCAGATTTATCTTTCCAGGGTCTCCAACCCACTCCCTACATAGTTATCTTAGTCTTTGCTTGACTACAAATAAATTGGCAGCTGCAGTGTTTATCTCTTACAGTAAAAATGACTGGAAGAGGTTTTTTTCTGTGTGGATTATCATATTATTGTCTATTAAAAAATCTCTCCCCTCTCTATTTACATCCCTTGGGGGAGCTTAAAGAGGGACTCTCATAATGGGGGAAAGCTTTCAAATACACCAGACTTCCAATATAAATCCATCCACCTCTGACATGTTTTTCTTACCATGTTTGCTAATTACTAAAACTACTTGTATATAAATCAGAGTGTGCGCCCTGTCACAGTTTATTGTCTCTTATTGGATTACACAATGATGTCATATTCCAGTATTTGTGATATCACAACCACTTCCTTGACAACAAAAAGTCTCATGTCAAACAGGATGAGAACTTCATTGCAAACGCAAACAGCACCGGAGGCTGGATTGCGGGGAGGAGGAAGGCACTCACCCAAATATTTTCATTGAACTGCATGGCACCAGGGAATGGTAATGGATACAGAGCCCTTCACCTCTAGGAACCTGATTCTGTATCTACTCAAGGACATGAGGGCACACAACACCTAACAGAATCAGAGTTGTGTGTGTTGTTGCCAATTTAGCTGTTTTCCAACACCCCTGTAAATTTGAACACCCCTCTAATTTCAGTTTCTAGGGAAAGTACTGAGACTTGTTTCATCAACTAAGGGTGTCCCCCACAATGTCCCCTTTCAGACTGTGAAAAAACCCTTTTCCCACACATGCCTGTGCCGGCATAGGAGAGAGTGAAGTATGCATCATTCCAGTAACATCCACTGAATCTCCCAGATAGCAAAGTCTTCCCATTTTGTAATTTGAAGTGCAAGGCTTGTGGGGCAGAGGGTGGGGCGAAGCAGGAGAACGTGCAGGAGGAGCCTGTGGATTTCTTCACGAGACCTTTTTTAAGAAAAACAACTGTCATCTGGTCCATAACAAAGGCAATAAATGTCTTCTTTAGGAGCGTTATGAAATTCCAGGGATAAATCTGCTCTGACAGAGATGTCCAGGACAGGGATGAACTCAGTCAGTCAGGGGCAGACTGCTAAAATCTCCCAGGGCATCATTTGAGCTGCTTGGTGGCATATGCTGTATGAGTTAGACCTGGCATTCTCAAACTGTGGGTTGGGACCCAAAAGTGGGTTGGGACCCCATTTTAATGGGGTTGCCAGGGTTGGCTTAGACTTGCTGGGGCCAAAGCCCAAGCCCAACCACCTGGCACTGAAGCCCAAGTCCTGGGCAGTGGGGCTCAGTTTACAGGCCCTCTGTCTGGGGCTGAAGCCTTCTGGCTTTAGCTTTGACCCCACCACCATCACCACCAGGGACAGTGGGGCTCAGGCTTTGGCTTTGGACCCCCCCACCCTCCATCTGGGGTGGTGGGTTTGGGTGGGCTCAGGCTTCAGTCCCCCCTCCTGGGGTTGTGTAGTAATGTTTGTTGTCAGAAAGGGGTCACGGTGCAATGAAGTTTGAGAACCCCTGAGTTAGATGGTCCTCAGTTGGAGGGAGGGGGCCCTCTAGGAGGGAGGGTTGCAAAAGAATGAATACATTTGCCCTCTAGTAGTGGGTGGGTGTGGTTTTGCCCTCTCATGGCTTGTCCAGAGGTAGGGGAAAGAACCTACAACTACAATCAGCTATGGATTCCTTTCAGCGGACAAGCCTGTAGTTTTGGAGCTGAAGGGCCATGTTCTAGTCCTACCGCTGCAAGTGTGTGTGATTCAGTACTTGTGCCCGCTCCCTGCAGCACATATTTTCTTTACAGTGTCAGCCTAGTTCCTAAGTGAACAGATGTCCACATCAAACATCATCACCAGCGCTAATTGGCAAGCTCTTCAGAAAGGCCCAGGCCTGAACGGGCAGGGACTGTGAACTCCCACACACTCTCCCTTAGAAGTGTTCTGCCTGGGTCAGGCCAGGGCTGTGAAAGCCGGCGCCTACCTTTCATGAGCACTAAATTCACCAAAAAAAGAATCTTAAATAATAGCAAAAGAAACCTAACGGGACTGTCAGCGTCCAATCCCTTTGGTATAAATGATCTTGTTTCCTCTACCATGGCACTTCCCCTTAAGGGGGCAACACTAATGCATCCACAGACCAGTCACTGCTGTGCTGATCCAAACTAGGTTCAGGTTCTTTGGTGCCGGGGAAGAACTGCAGTTCAGCCCAGCTCCGGCAAACGGGAGCTTAATTAACCACAGCTCTGATCTCCCCTATTACCTGCTGTTGGTTTTAGGGAGGAATCAGGCAGCTGAAATGAAGCATTAGCCAGCAGCATTTCCTCCTCACGTGGGAAAAGCAATACCACCCCCAGGCTTCTGGTGGAGCGAATGAGAGAGTCTCACTCTACGACTGGGAGGGGAGAGACATATGCACCCCCCCCCCCAATGCAGGCAGCCCCTCCAGAGAGCCCGGACCAGGAGGGGCTGGTGGCAGGGCGCGGTGGAAGCGAGCAGAGGTTCCCTCCAGTCAATGGGCGTCTCTGGCTGAGCGGTCTCGCCTCCGGCTTAGGCGGGGGAAGCGCTGTGCTGGCAGGACTGGTACGGATCGCCCCGCCTTTCTCTCCGCTCCACCGGCCCAAGCAGATCGATGCCAAGTGGGAGCGAGGCTGCCCGTGCACACGAGAGCCGCAGCCGCCCCCGGCTGGGGGGGGGGGGGGGGGGGG